TAGGATCGAGGATTTCCCAACCGTATTCTGTCTCGGCTGTGAGAACTCAGAGCATCTTTCTGGAGCAATGTAGAAGTTTAAGAGGAAAGTTGGGATTTCGTAAAAATGCCCCACTCACCAACAATCCTGACGATCCAGAAAATAGGAAATAAGAAATAGTTCAGCAAATCATATAAAGATGGCCTGAAAATTCTGTTCATCCTGATTCTTGCAGCCTTTATGAGCCGTATTCCTTGTTCAGAACTCACTTTTGAATTGTCCCTCGGCTATTCCCTCTTCAAGGTATGTACGAACCATCGAAGTTTCGGGTAGCTAGTCAACATATGCGTGCGTACATGTGGATAAATATAGCCAAGTGGAGTTATTTCGGCTAATCGCTCGTAATGCTTGCTCAGTGACGGTAGGTGAAGCTTGAACGGCGTCAAGTACCACTTGAAATCGGTAGCTTTCTCTCATTTACTCGATTTGCATCGTCAGTTCAAGCCCTTGTAATCTACCATGAGGGTGCTCGCCTACATTGGTTACCAAGTGGCTAACTAGTTGACTCAGTGTTCAAAAGGATCAGTTTACTCCGAGAGGGCTCGATTTTTTCATTTTAACCCGCGCACTTTTGTTATGATAATAAGTAATAGAATTTAGAAGTGATTCGACTGACTCCTGATTTGGTCATTACGAGCAATTGGCCAGGATGTGTACTCATTCCGGCTCTCTTAAAGTTGCGGACGATTGACAAAAACATGGCTCACTACAGGAATTTATCAATTCGATCATGAGTTCACTCGATATTGTACACCTACCCAGAAGACACCTACCCACGCCGTTGTTTTCCGATGATTCCATACTCAGGCAAAAAGTATGAACATAACATCCTTCGCTGGTTTGATATAGCACCGGATGAAGCTCATAGGTAGTCGTGCTCTGCAGATTGGGTGCGTAAGTGGTTGGCCATTGAACTCGAAAAGATCAAGTGGCTTTGAATACCGAACAGAATTCTGTGCCATGTGAGGATGGTCAACTGAGATTCAGTGTCCCGTGTTCCTTAGACCTCTGCCCATCTTCATCAGATACTATCAACCATGTCAACGCCCCGGTAGACACTCATCTGACGGTGTTAATACCGATGGTATGAAATGGGATGTGTGAGATCTTCCCCTGGAATAGGTGCGACTACATCAATTAGTCATTACCACCTTCGCTGTGGCTCCCACTGAGGCACAACGCCCCTTACCTAGTCCATTGTCTCGATGTGATGGAGGTCGGAGTAATTACTGCAAGTCTGCATACACCTACCATTGTTTTCTTTTCAGTGAAGTCTCCTTTGCTGGACTTTTTTATGAGTTTTATGAGTTCATGGGTTTATACGGTTTATACGGTATCCGCAGGGGGTCTTCTGCCTTCAACGGAAGAAACCAAAAGAGCTTTTAAAGCTAGGCTCTCAGCTTGGGTATATCTCAGGAGTAGCTCTGAGCCCCAACAAGGACTCCTTTTAAGATCTACGGCAGACTTTATTGCTTTCAGGGGGTGTCCATCTATGTATGATCGCTCTGGATCCTGCAGTCCTCTGAATATCTCCTAATTTTGCTTTCTATCTTCTTAGAATTCCTTTTGAATGTCGTCTATACAGCAGAGAGAATACATTAAAAGAAATGAAAGGAGGCAGGTGATTTCATTTCAGTTTCATCCTTCTTTTATACAACTTCGTCGTCTCTCAGGAGTCGTCGACTTCCCATCGGACACTTCCTGTCACCTTGAGGCTTCTAATGCGATTCCTTCACCCGTTTTCCTTTCCATCCATTTGCTGTTGCTGCCTCCCCTTTGGTGATTTGTCCTATATCTATCCTGGGCAATCTTTCTTATCGTTAGAGGATTTTTACAAAGCCAATACTGCCCTTCTTTCAGTTCCTTCTTCTTCTATGCTCCCTTTCACTAGCTGCTTTGACTGCTCATTGTCTTCGTTCTTCCTGATCACCATAAATCGCTCCTCATCGTTTTCCTCATTGAATAGCATTTCAAAAGGAAATATTTGAATTTTGCTTCGGTCACAAGTTTAAAGTACACCTTTCATAAATCTCGCTGGCAGAATGGTATCAAAAGGTTGTTTTTTGCACCCGTGTTTCTAGTCAATATTTATCTCTTGACAAGTGGATGGCACTCAAAACTTCCGCTACCGGCTTCATCGCCCATTGCCCATACACCCCGGGCGAGTGCCTTTGGTAGAAAGCACTTCTCCCATAAGCATCTGGAAGTCACCCACAGCAAAAACTAGGAACAAAAGTCACTTCCATGTGGTGACCACGTACAAGGCGAGGGGTGCGATACAACTGATCATAAGCATGGTTACCTAGTAAGGTAAAGCGCAAAGGTAAGCGTTTTCATTTCATCCCACTCGTCCTTAACTTTTCATCCTCCTCTTTTTATTTTCATTATTTCATCCCAGACCGACATTGACATTTTCTGACACGAATCCGCTCCAATTTTTATGCCTCAAGTGGAATCGCATGAGATCATCGGCTTGGAAAAGACTGGGAGAAATGTACCCAGAGCTTCAAACTCCACTACCAGATGCCAATCCCTACTGCTAGGTCGACAAACAATTATCTCTTTTCTCCAAACCCCTTTGATAATTGCTCCCATTGTTTTCCCCTACTTCATGCTGAGTTTATTGGCTACCGTTTATCTATTCGTTCTCGTTTTTCAACCCCCCACACTCTGTCATCTCCGTTGTTACTCCTCTTGCTATTACCTCGCTCCGACTACGAGACAGCAGCAGTGAAGAGCGGATCGGTGGGGGGTTTTGTGCTGTCATATGAAATCTGATCCTCATAGANCCAAACCCCTTTGATAATTGCTCCCATTGTTTTCCCCTACTTCATGCTGAGTTTATTGGCTACCGTTTATATATTCGTTCTCGTTTTTCAACCCCCTACACTCTGTCATCTCCTTTGTTACTCCTCTTGCTCTTACCTCGCTCCGACTACGAGACAGCAGCAGTGAAGAGCGGATCGGTGGGGGGTTTTGTGCTGTCATATGAAATCTGATCCTCATAGAGAGCGTCGTTTAGCAGCCGCATCCGTCCGTCCGTTTCGCTCTTCATCACCGCCGCCTCTGTGTTGTTCTTAGTCAGCCGGCAGGTCAATCGCCGTAATTCTACGAAATCGATGAACTTTCTCAAAATCGCCTGAAAATCCTTTTCAATACGTTTTTTTCGTCAAAAATTCCTCCTCTTCAGATCGTTCTTTTTTGCTCGTGGAATTTCTTCGATGTTTTTGTCAACATTACAATTGACCAGGGCTTCATATTTCAGAATCCCCACAGAGCAGCTGTCTAAGTAAAGATGCTGTTGTTGCTGATTCTCCTGGTGCTCTTTGGCACGATACCAATGTTGTACAGCAAAGGTTGCCAACCAATTACTATTCCCCTATGTAAAGGCATCGGGTACAATATGACATCATTCCCAAACAGCTACGGCCATGAAAAACAAGAAGAAGCTGGTTTGGAAGTACATCAGTTCTTTCCGCTTGTTGAGGTAGGTAACGGTGTGGATTACGGTAGCTATCTATGCTTCGGGAGGGGCTTGAAACTCGTACGTCTGTTTTCTAACAGGAAAATCCTTTCAGTACGGCTGCTACCAACATCTGAAGTTCTTCCTTTGCACATTGTACACACCGATCTGCCAGGAGAACTATGACCGGCCAATTCTACCTTGTATGGAGTTGTGCTTGGAAGCGAAAAAGCGCTGTTCACCGATCATGCAACAGTGAGTACGGTAGGAATGGGATGCAGGGGTCCCACAGCTTCTGACTGACTCTGAGAACCTGCAGCCGTCTACTAGTGGAGCTATAATTTCAGTGAAAAAGCAAATATGTCTGGGGGATGGGGAAGTAGGAAATGGAAGGGAAGTGGGATGAATTCATGAGCTCCCAATTTTATTGTCAAGAACGAATTCATTTGAGGTGAAGAGGTTTGTGCGTCTTTATAAAAAGTCATCCCCCGAGTCCTCAAGGCTGGATGTAGGGCCACAACTACTTTTCTTCTGAGAAAGTAAGGAAGGTAGAGGAATTGCGAAGTGTTACTGCCACGTTTGCTGCCCTTTTTTGGGAATTACCCCATGAGGTTCATTTTTTCGGCCCTAATTCGGGATAGGTAGATTTCTAGATTGGAATGCCCCCAGAATTGCCAGGAAATTAAAGCTCATATCCTTCAGGTATGGCTTCCGATGGCCAGAGACGTTATCCTGCGAGAGTTTGCCCAAAATGAGCGAACAGGCATCAACAGGCAACATCTGTGCAGCTCCTCCGGACACCCCTAAGCCGGCGAAGATTATGGTAATTAGTACAACAATTCTTGCGTATTCTGCCTCATCAGATTACGCGCTTAGCACTGATTTAACGCTTTTCAGGAATTGCCACCAGTATCAGCACCTCGACCCCATGTTGGCATATCCGTTCAGGACCTACAAAACCAGTGTGACTGCTCCTGTCAGCCACCGTTTCAAGCTGTCAGTAATGCAAGAGCCATGGTGAGCTCATTGTCACTATTTCAATTGGGATCCAGGAAGATTTTTATTGGATCTTTTCGTCTCAGCTTATTGATCAATTGATTTTATTGATTTATTCCGGCTTCTAGTAAGTCGCTGACTTATGGCAATGACATTGATTCAAATACTATTTTTCCAGGTTGGAAATGTCTCGAGGTGCTCATACCCATGTGAGGCTCCATCACTACAAGGTCCTGGTAAAAAAGATTTGATATCAGGATGGATGGGAGTTTGGTAAGTCGTTCAGGGAGTCTTCTGATTTCTTATCGGGACCATAAGAATACTACCGTTTTCAGGGCCTTTGCCTGCTTCTTCCTTTCGGCCTTCACCTTTCTGACGTTCCTCATCGAGACAGATCGATTCCAATATCCCGAGAGACCGATATTCATGCTGGTGTTCTGTCAACTGATGGTTGCCGTTGGCTTTATTATCCGAGTATCCGCTGGGCATGAGCAAGTAAGCAGCTCTGATTCTATTGATACGCAATCCTAGGGCTATACAGGGCAGTGAGAGGCCAGCATGACAGGTAATATGATGTGGTGATTGATAGGCGGGTTACTGAGGTCGTTAGTCGAGGTAGGAATAGCTGGTGGACAAAAGATGGCGGGTGAAGGTATTTAGAAACGTTGGGAGCTGGAACTGTAGCGTCCGTCGGACGAGTTTCCAGAAACAGCCGGACGGAACTCAGTAGCTGCGATAATCGTAGAAGCTAATAAAATATGTTTATTGTTACTATTACTCTAGTTTACGCCATGACTGTTGTCTTATTCCAATTTCTTAGGTTGCTTGCGATGCCTACAAAATCAAAGGAATCGATGACGGTAATGGCAGCTTATGCTTTGTGGTGAGTACTATAGTCATCTCAAAACTTCACCTTAACACTTATCAGTTTTCTGTGAAATCCTGAAGATACTCATAGGCAACATTCTCGATACCTGCTCCCAACCCAGACTAAATCGGTAATGAGATGGGAGTAGGTAATTTTGATGATTTTGCTCCTTTTTACTGAATCTGATGGGGAACTTTACCAAATGTGTGCCTATACATCAGGACTTAAGTCATGCCCCAGAAGTACCCCCCTACCCGCTGTCCACCCAGTGGGTACGATATGTTTGTACAGGCCCGATTATGATAACCTGATATAAACATTATTGCCTGATACCCTTTCAACTCCTTACAAACTGCAAGTCTGAAATTTGTGCGACTGAACGTCGCAAGTGACACTGACGATACCGTAATGGCCGTGCTTTTCAGGTATTCCTACTGACCTACTTCTTTGGAATGGCAGCTTGTGTATGGTGGATTATACTTTCGCTGTCATGGGTGCTAGCTGCTGCTTCGAAATGGTCCAGTGAAGCGATAGCCAGTTACTCGGCTCATTTCCATGCAGTTGGCTGGCTGTTACCTGCGGCTCAAACGGTTGTCGTTCTGGTAGGTTTTCAATTTCTTTCAGAGGTAAAAAACAACTTTGAAGAAAACAAGTGGCAACAAAAATCACCAAAGTTAATAAAAATCTTTTTTATAAAAGCAGTTAAACATTATATTTCATTGGCCGTGAAATATAGGAAATGGAACTATAAAAACTGACCGTTTTTGAGGAAACAGTAACACCCTGTGAGAAAACGGAGCTGGGGAACCGGGAATAGAAGTTGTGCCAAGATCCTCGACAGATGGCAAAGCAAGCACGGAATGGAGTATTCCGTGAACGAAATCAAAGTTAAACGAAAACCTAAAAACGAGAAACTGGTAAAACCCCATAGACGCCGAGACAATTTCGGGACATTTTAAGTGGTGAAGACCCATTTCAAAAAAACCTGGGTTAAAACTAATTTTTTGAATCGCAAAAAAAATCAAACATCCAACAAACGAATGATTTGCAGGTTTTCAATGCAATCGACGGCGATCCAGTGTCCGGTATGTGTTACGTGGGTAACACCGATGTAAATCACCTTCGTATGTTCGTGTTAGGTAAGAAGCCTATACATTTACAGCGTGTTTGTTCATTCGAGTAAGAGAGGGTTCTGTGCTTTCCCAGAAATTGAATGGTGGGTGTGGGATATAAGACGTAGAAGGGAGAAGAGGGTTGTATTCCGGTGCAAAGTTCAGCAGAGTCGTGATACCATTTCCGCGACACTCGTGGGCATAGGTAGATTGCCTTTGGGGGCCAATTTCCAAACCTATCCATCCAGGTACCGATCAACGATCTCGCCTCTATTGTAAGGTTTAATTGCAGTTCTCAAATGTTGGGATAAAGGTCCATTACAACGAGCTTGACCTATCCCTGCGCTCGTTACCAATGAAGAGTAGCCGCTGAAAAATGTTGGTCAAACCACACCTTACTTACCTTACCTTATTTTCAGGACCTCTGATTCTCTATTTCTCTCTCGGTGTGCTATTCCTTTTTGTTGGATTCTTCAACCTATGGAGAATACGGAATGAGGTACTTTATCGGCTCAGAGGTTTTCTTCTATTTGAGTGGAAGTAACCTGATTTACATTTTACTCACAAGTGAATCAGTACTGTCGTTTTCAGGTTCAAAAACAACATCCTGGTCTGTGTAACGCATCGAAACTGACCAACCTGATGACAAAAATTGGCACATTCTCAGTGCTCTACACCCTGCCTGCATTGTTCGTCATTCTTTCGCTTATCTATGAGCAGCACCATCGTCCCTTGTGGGAGCAGAGTCTCACCTGCACTTGTGCGGATCGTAAGCTGTCAGCAGGTTGGTGATTAAGAGCGGATTCAACCTTCGTATGTATCAGCTCGAGGAGGGGCCAGTGACCGCTGAGATTCTTACACTTGCAACTCCTGTTACCGTATACGACCCTGTTGATAACGGGAGGTAACTCTTGTTCGAGGGGAAGCAACATGTGACGTTGTCATGACGAAAACCGATTTTATAATGGCGAAATAAGGACTCAAAGTTAGGTATGCCCGCCTCTTACCAGTTAATGGGGTTCCTGACAAGAGAGGGCGGTCCAACCAAATTTGAACTCCCGTTATGCCATCTCTAGTCCATTTCATACAGTGACAACGTTGTATATCATCCCCTTTTGTAGCAAAGTTCCATTGTTTCGCATCATCTGCAGAACCGGCCCAAGAGTTTCATTAAGTATTTATTTTATTTTTACACTTTTCAAAAGAGTCGATCCATATTTCAGATGACGCTTCCTTCATGCTATCGATGGTGAAATCGTTCTGCATGTGTGTTATGGGACTAACTAGTGGAGTATGGGTATGCAGTCGCAAGACACTCAACTCCTGGACAAATGTTTTGTGCTGCTTAGGTGAGTAGAAAATAATTTGGTAATCTGGGAAGTGATTAAAATTGAGAAATTGCAAAAAGCAATCGGAACTTCGGTGCTCTGGGGTGGAATTAATCAGAGTTTCTCGGGCGTGCTTATGGTGAGGTCAGAGCCATCCTAGATAGTTGTCTCGCTGCGTTGCTCTGCTAGTTAGTTGTCGGCCGCACGGTGGAGGGATCTAGCGCTGGGTGTTCCATCGCTCTTACCATCCAGAATGCCTTTGGTGCTATGGGGATTTCTCAGAATCGCCCTAGATTACTTCGAGATCACTTTAACCTGGGTAGGACTCCAAAAATCGATTTTTAGATCAACCTCCACGCCGCCGTTCTGCAAAGTATAAATCCACATATGGCAATTTTCTCAAGTTTTCAAAACCCCCGGTTTTTTTAGGAGCATCGCGATCGACCGCAAAATATCAACCGGCAGATATGCTTTATGGAAAAAGTGATTTTTCATCTCCTCAGTTCTACAATACAGCCCTTCGACAGAATCATCTCTACGCTGGTATACCGATACCGGAAAAATTATAGGAGAAAGAATTTTAGTAACGGAATTACATGAGTGCTGAGACCAAGCCTATCATTTCTAGTAACCACTTCAATCAGTGATATTTGGAGGCTATATTAATAATATGTAGTTTGGAAATGGTTGTATTTTAGGTAATAATTTATATGTTACTAATCAATACTGTATTATACTGGTTTATTATACTTACCCATTCCCAATCTAGACCCCCTCCTAACATCATCCCACAAGTTGCAGCAAACTCTTCCAGTCAAGTGTTCGGGGCAGGCTGCCCTCGGGTTACAGAACTATTCAAATTGCTATCCAAATAAAATGAACTACTCAAGAAAAGCTATATTCTGAGTCAGCTCTGGGAAATGGCCGCAGCTAAGACGGCTGCTTGGGACGGAAAAGGCTGGGTAATGAAGGTCCATGTCTTTCTGGTCGGTACAAAATAGGTTCGAACGTTTTCTGCAATTCAGATGGCTGCCTAGGATGGCAACAGATAGGCTGCCAAGGTCCATGTCGTTCCAGTCAATCCTAAGTGGATAGTGTAGGCACGTTTCGAAGGGGGTCAAGAATGAGGTGAACTCGGCCTCAACCCTCCTCCCGGCTCTATCCTTTTAGGCCCGAATTGCTGAAACGTTGAGTGAACCCAATCATCGCGAGTGTCTTAAAACCCCGGATAAGCTCTGGGAGCTCCTGACTAATCCCTCCCAAGCGGCTACGTCAACTGCCTAAGTAGTCTTATGAATACTGTGGCTGGAAAAGAAGCAGCAACTTCGGAGTTTTCCCCTGACAATATACTCCCCTTCATTCCTTAACAACTTCATCTAGTCCTGTAACTCATCTAACATCGCGCCATGCATAATCGATTTGTATCATATCTTCTATTTGATTGTGCATAATCATCCTAATTAACGACTGATTCGATTCGGCAATTTCAAGGCAAGAAACGTGTACATAATATGAAATTGTAAAACTATATTGATCTCCTATGTTACTTCTGTTGAGATTTCAACATGAGCATCATTACCTCATTTGCATTCGATGCTCTGTCTTCAAGACAATATTTGTCACATTATTATCTATTTGTTTTATTTGATTGTAATTTTTTTGTATTAATTCTTCGAAGTTTTTGTGAAATCTGCCTGAAGACGAGCTTATGAAAAGGCCAGATTCTTATAACTTTGTAATATCGCCGACATCGCATACGTGGGTAATATTGTTTGTCATATTCTATACTTCTTTGTAATGAATTTGAAAAATATAGCCTGTTATTTGTCCATCAGTTGTAAAAACCGTTTCGTTGGTGCAATGGCTACAGGCGCCGTTTGCGAGTTTTCGTGGTTAGGATCGGATCTCACTTACATCAAAGAAACCTTTCAACTACTTATCGAACATCATGCGGCTTTGGTGGTGTCACACCTCAAAAAATATTGAATGATTCTCTGAAACGTCGTTAAGAAGTTAATTACAACCAAAACTGTCTCGAATACGGATGCCTGGCGTATCCCAGAAAGAGGGATTGGACTTTGTTGGAGCTCTAAGCCATACAGTCATTTGGCTGAGTGAAATCAAGGTAAGTTTGGAAAAAAGACAATTTTAACTGACTCAGATTATGCGGCTTATCCGAGCGTAATAGGGACCTAAGTCAACCCCGTACTTCTGATGGTGAGACAGATGATAGAATGGGGAGATAAAATCAAGTCGGAATGCTCAGTAATATATGATTCAATGGGGCTTATCTACGGTGTAGGAATTGACACCAGAGCACCGTTACTGCATAGCATTCACTTAATATTGTAGTGGAGTAAAAACTACCCTGATGATTCAAAAGTCAGCTGTTTTCCACTTCTTTCGTCCTGTCCGATTTTGCCGAGGTTGAATTGCCTTAGGTCCATTTCCTGACTGACGGATCTGTTTCCGCAAAACTCCAAGCGCTTCAATCTCGTCTTATTGTTTTTTTAAGGACTTGAAGCTCGATCTTTTGGTTTAATTTCAAGAATGGTGATCGAATTCAGAGTCGTTTCGGTTCAGTTTTCAAAATTCGGCCTAAAGAATTTCTATAGGTGTAGAACATAAGTACCTCTGCGAATTCGTCTGTTTGACACCAAATCATCCGAATTCGATAGACAACGCACTTTATTTCACCAAAAACCCATACAACTCGTCATCATAGGGAATAATAGCAGTGAAATAACCGTGACGGTTGACTCATCACATGGTTATATCAGCCGCCAGGCCTGGGACGGGTTTTCATTCGGTTACACACCGTTGACTGAGTCACCATGCATTGTCCCAGTAAAACTCTGCCTTTTTTCCGCTTTATTTGCGTTTCCATCTTGTCTTTCCTTACAATTCCAATAACTTACTACTGCGCGAATCTCGTCCCCTACATGTCCCTCATGTAACCTGTCCAATAAGGGTGATTGAAGATGGAAGACAGCCTTGAGGGGTAGGATCAATCCCTTTCTATTTGTGGTTTGGTTCATTTGTGGTTCGAATTTGCCCATTCCTTTGTTCTTGTTATGGGTGCTATTTCGTTCTGGGGTTTGGGAAGGAGTCCTAGTGGTTCCCAGCCTCTTAATCAGTCTTTTTCACAACCGGCTTTGTTTCGAAACACTTTAAGCTGGTCAATTTATTGACTTGCAGGATGAAGGGGGTCTAGAAACGAAATTAGCGTCACTGTAAAAAGAGAACTAGGGTAAGAATTTCAGTCATAACTAAGAGAATGGTGATGCATAAGCCCTGACGCAAAGCGGACGAGTATTCAAGGAATATCTGAGTCGAGAAATATTTTTAGACTGTAAAGGTTCAAAAGGAAGGGTCGCCTTCTTTTTGGAAAGGCTTCAGCAGAATGAAAGTCTTTTTTTCTGAAAAAAAAGATTTAAAAAACGATCGATTACATGTTTCGTTCAGAAGCGTAGCCGTCTGGGTCTCTTTTACCTGAGCGTGTTAGAGTTCAATCTTCCTTGTGTACCCATCTGTTCTTTAGAACACGTCATCTACGATTCTTACGGTAACACTCTCACTTTTACCGTCGTTATTGAAGGTTGTTCGCAATTGCACTCATCATCATATACTTGGCGGGAACTCCTCAATTGTTGTAGCTCTACTTAGCGATTCAGGTCTTTCACCGCTGGTTTTTACTGTGAGTAGGGGTAATATTCGTTTGAGCTCATTTATCTCATTGAAAAAGCAGTCTGATGTAGTTCCGTCCAAAAATAAGCTCGTTTCGATGTCTTTATGAAGCATTTTTGGTTGTACTCCTTCAGAGGAACTGCATTTTGAGACGTATTCTGAATGTCCTCATGGTCATGTCAACAATGTACACTAGTAAATTCCAATGCTAACTCATTATGTGCTGCCTGTGGTGCGGAACGATCGAGATCGTCTTCGTTATTGCCGAGATTGGTTATCAAACCAAGTAAGCCTTTTGTTATACTTACCTAATGATTTCATGAGGAAGAGTAGGTCCGCTGGTAGTATGATCGAATATTCCTTGCGTCGTTGAATAATTCGCTGTCATTTATATTTCCTAAGAACATACCAAACAGATATCTTACATGTCGCTAAAGCCGCCTTCGTTCATGATGGGATCACCTGGATAACTCCTTGGTATATATTTAAGAATTGCAAATGACAGCGAATTGCCCAAGGACGTTAGGAATATTTATATGTCCTCATCCACCAAGTGTTTTCGGATTGAGTGGGGTTGAAATGGAAAGGGGGACGAACATTCATTAATTCAACGACTTACAAGATCAGAAAATGCCTTGTGTGGCTACTTCTCGACGAATCTGCTCCTCGAGAGCCTAAAAGGATGACATCGGTTTGGAAATTATTAACTAAATGATTCATGAGCATTCTGGATATTACCGAGGCATTTATACTCATCTGTCACGATTAAGTATGTTTGGACGGTCTTCCGGGGTGTCAAGATCTTTTGATCCGATTAATTTATGAGTCACTCCATTCTTCTGCGCTTCTAGAAAGGGGGGGGGGGGGAGTGCGCTGAAACATTAGTCATTCAGGGTGTTTAACAACGTCGCGTGCAAATATGCAAATATTTATAAAGTTATTCCGATATCATGCCGAGGTTTACAGAGAGCAGTATACGAAGAGTAGAGGGAATGTGCTGAGATATGTTGAACTTGGGCCCAAGAGGTTCGTTCGCTTTAAGGGCGTGACATGAAGGGGAGGAGGTTTTTCTACTCCAAATTCAAGTCAAATGGAAGTAGACCTCCTTATAACCTCAACAAGCCAACGCTCTATATGTTTTATACTCAAATAAGAGTTCATATGTTCGAAACAATATCTATTTATCCGTGAATTGCTCGGAGTAAGACAGTTTTCATAGAAGTTGCCTTTATTCTTTCGGTTGATATGTTCCATATGAATTTTCCAGTTTCGGACGTTGCCAATGCAATACTTGATGCACTCAGTGGGCCAAGTGCGTCGGTATCTAGGCAACTAAATCGCTTCATGCAAGGTAAGCCCTTTTTGTCTTTCCGTTTCACCCATATGTACCTCTGAGTTCCTTTGTTCTCACCTTTCCCCTCATTCATGTTCCTTTTCTTCGAATGTGGGTACTTGTTCTTTGGGTGGTACTGGATAGGAACATGTTCTATAGCTGACTGGGCAGAACAGCATGCCACTGATAACGGAGCGCTTTTCTGCTTAGTCAGCTCTCAGAAGTCTTTGAAGTCTTTCGTCCCAAATTAGATTTTTGGTGTCATTCACGAATGAGTTCTCAGTTTCCATTTCTCGCTTATCTGTTATTCATAGAGGTTTCCATTTTTCGAGCTGGACGTAGTTGTCAGTTTCAACTTATGCAAGAAGTACAGACGGGTACACATTCACCTGACTTTTCCATTAATGCCGGAAATGAGATACGGGAAGTAGCTAGTTGGGGCGGAGAAGCTCGGGCTGAGAAGCTTTGAAGTGAGCAAGACGGGGTTGCCTTTCTGTGCTGCTGATATCTAACAACATCGCACTACCACGTCCTGTACAGAACTTTCACGTGGAATTATTTACGCGGTTGTTTGAATATATATACTGTAATATTTTCGTAAGCTGTTTATATTTTCTAGGATCTTCACCCATTCGTCCTTCTTCATCATATCCAGATCTTCCGGGTTACTTCATTGCCCCGAACCCGTCGTTCAACGGTTACAATATCCCAGCAAGCTCGCATGATGACTCGCTGAGTTGGATTTGTCGGAAGTGTTCAAAGACGAACTCGGAGTTTTTGACGTATTGCGAGTATTGCAATGAGCGCAAAGCAATAGGTGGGTACTTTCATTTTCCTCCTCCAAACTAGAAAGTAAAATGCCCAATGGTAACGTCTTTGTCACGATTCTGCTGTCAGTGTAATGCAAGTAGGGCTGAGCAATGGGGTGGAGTTGGGGAAAAAACGGGTATAGTTAACAGCTCAAATACCTTCGTTAAGAGGCTCAGAGGAAAAAGCTCAGAATTTCCTTTGGTCGTTATCTGGGTTGACTTAATATACCTTTTCGCATGTACCACCTCTCAACAAGAAGATGAGTACTGCCTTTTCTGTTCCAAACTCAGTTCTACGGCCTTCATCACTTGTCAAGTAAACTAAATGAAACTGAATGGTTCTGGCTCTCGGACTTCTAAATATTTTGACAACTAAAAAAAGGAGGAAAAGGTATATTTACCAGTAGATATTCAAGATATAGTGATGATTTACTAAACATACCTCTACGCTTTGTGATTTGTTCTTTGAATTTTTTGTGGAAAGAGGTTTTGAATTGTTTTGTGGCAATATAGCAGTGTGGAGATCGTTTTTTTTTTGGATTTTTGACTTCCTTGAATGAAGTGTCAGTCCATTTGTAGGATCAAAGCGACGTCTTCGAGGATTGAATCGTAACGGACCATCAACTTCGAATGATTCTTCGATACCGAGTAGTAGTGTGAGTGTTGTGATGGTTTTTGTATTCCTTTCCAAACGATTAGCTACTTGTGGATGTTGTCTATTTCAGAGCAAAATGGCCGCAGGGGACGATATGAGCACCCTTTGCTCCGAGGTGATGACTGAGGTCGAACGTCAGGATTGTGAAAATGCATCTTCTGCTTACAACAATATTATCAGCATGTGTAGGTAGGAAATACCCGCCTTCATTGTTTACGTCTCTTCTTTTTGATATCCTCATTGGAAGTATACTTTTTTATAGGCAGTTCAATACAACGTTTATTGATGATAGCTTCCCGCATACACCAAAATCGATTGGTGACTTGTACACTGACGTTGAAGGCGCTATTGTAGGTGAGTGGGGGTTGGGATTGCGACAAACATGCTGCTAATTTATTTCAAGCCAGCTCATGGTGTTACCTAAACTTCATCTTCACATTTTCATTTATATCAATACCGAAGGTTTATATCAATACCGAAGGCTTGTCGCGCTTAGGTATTAACTTTTTCTGATTTGAAATATCTTTAAGGGAGAGTACCAAAAACGTTTATATGGCTGCGACCGGTACAAATGTATACAAAAGATGGTCGCGCTTGGCCCTGGACTGTTTTCCGAGATCCACGGTCATCAGATATTGAGCAAGGTGAGATAAGTTTAAATGTGTCGAAAGTAATAGATTTGATTTTTTGCGAGTGTCAGCTAGCTGCTGTACTGAGTTGGGTGATGCACTGACTGTATTTATGCACGACCTAAAAAAAGTTGTGGAATGCGTTATGATTACGACTACACTTTACGTTTAGTACTTCGAATATATACGCGTCTTGTGGTGAAATATCCCTGTTTTAGGTTGCTTGGGTGACTGTTGGCTACTGTCAGCGATGGCCTTAATAGCGGAACGGCCGGACGTTTTGGAGCATATTCTGCTAACGAAGGAGTACTCTCATTTCGGAGTGTATCAAGTGAGGTTCGCTGATTATCTCTGTTTTCCTTGGATCA